ACCAAGTAGAAGATTAAATTCAAGTTTAAATCCAAATTAAACAACGCTACACAGAATTACACCTAGACAAATTAATAAATTTCAATAAAGAAACAGCTCCGCAGGGCTCGGTTTATCTGTAAGTCAATTCCCAGGAACTTTAAAACTAACCCATAAAAATAGAATTAGCCAAAACACTCGGATTGGTACTTTATTTACAATAAATAACACTAGTACACTTCCCCATCCTAACTAAAGAACCAGGGAACAGCTTGGTGGTGGTCTCGTTTGAACCTCCCAACTGACTTTCCTTTGTTCTCTCCTTCACCGCTGTTAGAACGTGCGGATTCGGATGACTCCGGAGCGGAATCGGAGACTTAACGTGGAAGGACCTCGGCCTCAGCGACTCATGCAGAGCGCTGTGCCATTGCTGGTTGTCCTGGGGGTCCCTAATTTCGGATCTAGCAGAGGGAAAGTCTCTTGGGGGGAATTCAGGTCGATTTTGGACTGAGGTTACAAGTTACTAGGTACATTGTATATAAGGAGGGGTCCGGAATCAAAAGGAACAAGGGTAAGACGAAAGGAGACAAAGGGAGATGGAAAGAGGAACAACACCGAGGGTCAAGTGTTTGACTCAATGGTGTTTCCCAAAGGAGGAATGAAGGGCCAAGGCCCAAGGAGGAAGGAAGGAGGATGGGAGTCGGGAATGGCTAGCTGACTGAATAGAAGGAAGCAGCAGCCCAAATAGGAATGAGGGAGAATAGCGGAATTGAAATGGACAATGCAATAGTTGCAAGGTCCGGAGTAAGTCCGGAAAGTCCGAACTCGGAGGTTAAACTCCGGAATATTGGCAAACGTAATTAAATGGAATGAGCTAACCAATACAATGGGTATAAGCAGAGGTGGGGTCAAAGTCCGAGGTTGGAGCTGAGACCGGAGGTTCCGGAGATGGAGACGCAAACAGGATTCCGGAGCGGAGGTCCGGAGTCGGGAACATAGGCGGAATGTTCTGGAGTCGGACTGAAGGTGGTGTTGGAGCCGGAGATGGGATAACCTCTTGGAAGTCGGCAAGGAGGAGGTGGCAGAAGGGAAGCAGGACTCTGGAAGTCAGGTTCGGAGTTCTGGGAGCCCGGAGCGGAGGTCGGGATTGTATGGATATGACACCCACAACCCATGCACGACACACCCAGCCCCGGATGCTCCGGACGACCCCTGGGTACACCCAGCATGCGTGCCTGCAGTGGATCCCTTTGGGATCCCCCATGGGGATACCTGGGTGGCTGGGGCTGTGCATGGGGACGACATGGCAACTCTCATGTGACCTGAGCACCATGTATATAAACATACCTGAGGTGGGAACCAGAGAAGCAGTCTTCTTCTCACCATTCCCACTTCAGGGATGTCTGCCTGCACCGGACCCGTTGCCACATGCACCCGCTTCATACCCCACTGGGCCCTCAGCGCTGGGCGATATACCCGGACGCTCTCGACCCCGGACCGGTCCCTGACAGCCTGCCAGTATGCATGCCTGATCTACCCCCCGCGAGGTCCTCAGCACCGGGCGCTATACCTGGGCCCCCTCAACCCCAGATGCGTCCCTGACAGCTACTTACCTGAAGTGGGAATGGTGAGAAGGAGACTGCTTCTCTGGTTCCCACCCCAGGTATGTTTACTCTACTAACACGACCAACTACCTGTCACGCGTCACACTGGGAAAAAGGTCGGAGCAATCCGTGTCACGCAAAAACCAAGGCTGCCCGGTGGCTATACATTTGTATTTCAAATTCCCTTTTAAAGTAATATATTTACATTCAAAAATTGAAAATTGCCATTTCCTCATCCAAATTGCGTGCCCGTCTAACTCGCATTCCACAGCCAAGGTTGAAGTTTTGGAGAGTAGAGGTAGAGGGGATTAGGGTAGTCTCATCCAGAAGATCATCAGGCTCGGCTTCCTCAGCGAAAGTTGAAGCAGCCTGCAGGCCACCATCAATCACCTCAAGCCCATCCAGTGCCACCTGCCCAGCAATGTGTTCAAAGACCTCTTCCACGGTTATATCAATATCATCCTCAGGAGTATCTGTGAACTCCATCTCGAGTACGACAGAACTGGGGCCTGGGAGGACATTACCATTGCAGGGGTGCTTTCAGGGTGCTGTTATCGCATTTGCAAGATCGGAGTTGTTTGTGGGGAGCGAATCAAGAACCAATCATAGTGGGCAGCTAGTTAGACTGGTATGGGATAGGTTGAACTTGCCTGAGCAACAAAGTTCAAAGGCCTGAATCTAGTAAGTACTTATGCCAGAAACAATAAAGTCCATTCAATCGACTCACCTTCTGGATTTTATTCTTCTGATTCATGGCTTGGAAGGCATGAACAAGGGTCTCAGGGACACGGTCCCTCAGTGTTCCGAGCCTGGTGTCGAGTTTAACATTGCGTGAGTCAACCCCTTTTCGTAATTGTGAAAACACTTCCTTTACAGCTGCCGTCTGCTGTGATCGTTTCACAGCATGTTTCAAGGGACACTGTATACCAACATCGCAGGGCTGCCAGATACCTGTACAGCCACCAGGAACGTAGTCAAGAATAATCCAGGGAAAGTTGTCAAACAACCAAGTACGAAACTCGAGGGATGTGTGCACCGGCCACACATCAAGCTGCCAGATGCATTCCTGCAGCGGATCGAGGGAATGGTTCTTCTTTTCAGCATCGAAATAAGGGACTAGAATTTTAGTTACAAAGGACTTCATTGTTGCAATGTTAGCCCAGTAGGTGTCGTTGCCGGAGAATTCAAAGACGAAGCCATGATCAATTGCCTCGGCATAGCCCGGGGCTCCACTTGAAGGGAGACTCACGGATGTTTTGCCTCGGAAAATAGCCTGGAATGGTAGAAGGTCGCTGCTTGCAGAGATCGCTACGTTGAGTGTGAATGCACGCTTCTCATCATGGCCAATGGCAGATGTTAGAGATGGGCGGAAACGGACGACTCCGGAGTGGAATCGGAGACTTAGCGTGGAGGGACCTTGGCCTCAGCGACTCAAGCGGAGCGCTGTGCCATTGCTGTTTGTCCATTTGGTCCTTAATTTCACAGTAGGTGAGCAGGAAGTCTCTTGGGGGCATTTCAGGTCGATTTCGGACTGAAACCAGACGAGTATGTACAAGCGCCGATATATATAAGGAAGGGGCAAAAGCACAAGGAGAACAAAGGGTGACCGAATCGGAACGAAGACGTCCGAACGGGAACAAAGGGTTAGAGGGAGCGGAGCGGTACCGAAGGTCATAGGGCAAGACCTGTGATACAACCGAAAGGAGGTAGAGTGGGCGAGGCCCAGAGGGGCAGGAGGATGAGGGGAAGTGGGGGTGATGACTAACTGGCTAGAATAGAAAGAAGCAGTAGTCCAAATAGGGATGAGGGGGAATTGCGAGAAATACATTACAAACGGCGAGAGTGCCGGAGGCGGTCCGCGAAGCTCAGGGGTTGCGGAGCTTACGGAGGTTACGGAGGCGGGGTTGGAAGTCCGAGGAATATTGGCAATGGTGTTCACGTAGTATGAGGTCACCAATGCAATGGACTAAGACCGAGGTGGAGTCAAAGTCCGAGGTATGGACTATGACGGAGGCTCGGAGTAAGGTACGAACGGTGTCCGAGTGTGAAGTACGGAGCAGCGGTGGACGGTCGTAACTTGGCGGAAGGGTGGTGGAGGAGTGACGGAAGAAGGAGAGAGGGGACAGGTAAGGAAGAGTAGTCAGGTCCGAAGGTGGATATCGGAACGGACGGAGAAGCGTAGGGGATGACGGGAGGGTGGAGGTGTTGTGAGGGGGGAGCGGAGTTGTAGGAAGGGTGGCGAGTAGGGCAATGTTCGGTCCGAGATGAGTATCGGAACGGACGGAGAAGGGGTCGGAGAGGTAAGAGGAGGGGTGTGTTGCCAAGACCGAAGGTGAGTATCGGAAAGGCAGCGGTAGGTTATGACTCCGGAGGTGAAGAGGGTGGTGTCCGGAAGTCGGGTCGGGGTCGGGTATGCACGGATATGACAGCAGAGACTTGATGCGACCCCTTCATTTCGTATGTAGAAGTCGAATTTTGTTGATAGATGACATCAGAGTTTACCCGAAGGCTCTCATGGATTGCGTATTTGTGTACAGAGTGGGCTTGGCGAAGTAGTGAGGCAAGGATTTTTTTGTCAGCATTGGCGGGGATTTTTTGTGAAGCACGTGTCGCTCGATGCAGGCTCCACCTCATCTCTCCATTGAGGAACTTCCGAACCCAACCCATACTCACTGCAAACATGCTCCCATCTTTTTTCACCATCGTTCTGAGGATATCGGGCTGGGTGTGCTGAACCTGTGCAATGATCACACCACGGACTTGGTGAGCATCCAGTGCAGCGCCACTTTGTTGAATACTCAACAGTGTTTCCTTGATCGCTGCAACGGTGTCTGGATATGAAGCCTGCAATGCCCAAGCTGAGTTTCCTTAAAACTATATTGATTCTTAACTTACCAATATCCCCTTCTGTGTAACGTTACCGCCTGGGCAATTTGCCCTTGCAACTTTTGCCAGTGTTTCCTCTGACCAGCGTGGCCATGACCCGGTGCAGTCAATCCATTTACGAACCACATCCGCATGCAGTGAACAAAATAACTTGGAGCTTCTTGTTTGACATCCCTTCACTATTGCAGAAGGGCTCATCTTCCAGCCAATGGTGGCTGCCACTTCCATTATTATCGTCCAGAAGATGGGTTGGAACCAGTTGGTGGCTTTTGCGAACTCATGCGCTGTGGTCTTTGGAGATTCTATTGGCTGGTGAGCTTTCTTCTGGCGCTTCTGTTCCTTTGACCATTCCTGAATTTCATGCTTTGGGCGCAACATCTCTGCGACTGGAACTGAGTCACCAACCCCTGAAACACGAACCAAATGCTGCATGCTTCTTTGATTAACAATCGTCACCCCCTGAACATTTTGACTCACCATTTTCTTTGCAACAATCCTCCCTCCTGCCAATTTCTTCCGACAACGTTGCTATCATCCTCGAGCCATTTCTCGATTTCTTTCTACTCTCTTTTCCGCTGCTAGCCTCGCCTTCTCGTATGCCTCTTGACATCTTTCACCAATCCTTTCACATTCTGCTGCCACTTGCCACTCATATTCCTCACAGCTCACACGTTTGAAGTACTGTGGCAACCCCCATGCCGAATCGCCTTCTTGCAAGGTGAGGTCTAGCTTCCGCTTTGTCCCACCCTGCATTTTGACATCAGAATTGCACGAGACATTTGTTAGGTTGGGGGTACTTGTTGGGAATGTGTGTTCTGCTGCAACTGGGCACATTCCTGATCCGATTGTTGCCATAATGGATGGCGTTCCCTGGTTAATCGGCCCAACGTTCAGTCCTAAAAGCATCGTTGCTGGCATGGCGATGACTTGCGGTGAAACTGCAGGTGGTGGCACCACTGTCACTTGGACCGACATCATTGTTGATCTGATTGCTGCATTTGAGGCTGCTGCCACCGGCATTAGTTTTGTTGCTGGAGCATTTCCTTCTGAGATAGGTGAGGATGCCTGGTAATGGAGTGGTGGGTTTCCTTATTATTATGGCTGCGCTTTGTCACTTACCAGTGTGTCATGGTGGTCAAGGATTGATGTGAGAAATTCGATGTGCAGTGTTGCTGTGTCATCACTGGTACAGAGGCAATATTTTGTTGGGATGAGACAATGCATCAGAGCATTGAGAGCGAAGAAACCACATGAAGTGGAGTCTCTTTGGTGAGCGATTGGCAGCCACGCAATCCGAAATGGCAAAATTGATTTATTAGAGCCCAAACATGATACAGTCAGCCACCACTGAAGAATGCCAACTGTCTCTTCCACTGCAGCTGGTGGCCCATCATCTTCTATTGGCCAGCGTAAAGAATCAGCAAGGTAGATAGTTGATTCCACGGGGGAAATGAGGAACGCGATCCAATGGTTATTATTAATGTGCGTAATCCCACCAAATTGAGAGCCATGTCCTGATGAGAGCTCTAAACCTAATTTCCAGAGGTTTTTGCAGGCCCGATCACTGTGATATCTTTCCCAGCCATTCCCATCTTGTTGCATGGCACACCCAGCCAGATATTGAATGTCAAGGGGCCACAAGAGCCTAGCCTCTATCTCATTGGCCTCTAAGGCTCGTTCCAAAAGTTCAATATGGTAGGCAATATCGGTGGTTACCAGGCAGGAGAAGGTGAGGTGATGCACAAGTCCCCCAATGGAACTTAAAACTGATTTTGAGAGCCCAAGCACCTTTGTATTCCAATTGTATGACAGGAGCCGCTTCCGAGCAGCCATGATAGCAACATGGTAAGCAGCGTGATGGTCTGCCAATGTTTCAGTGTGTGCCTCTGACTCTTTCCACATTTTCTGGACATCTTGTATCTGAAATAGTACTTCCCAGACTTGGAGAATGTTGATTGGGATGTAATGGATGCCGATTTTAATGGAACAAGGTGGGTTGTCATCATTGGGGTCATGTTCAGAAATCAGTTTTTTCATACTGGGGCGGGACGGGTGGGACATGTTGCGGAGGTCATGTTCAGTTATTTCTTTCATGGAGGGTGGGTGGTGACTGAGACATGCAGACATGGCATCTAAGCCTGTTTGTAGGGATGGAAGCCTGAACCGGAGAAACTCGGTGATGGACAGGGTTTCCTTGGGAATGTAGGGTCCAATGAGCGCACTTGGGATACCATCATACAGAATAGGCTCATAAGAAGAGATACGTCAGGCGAGCGAAAAACCATCCATATGTAGGATGAGGGACTTTTACACAAGGTGGAAAACGTGTTTTACATTTTGATGCTTGCCAAACGTGACTAGCAGTCAAAAATAATTAATCATTATTATTATTATGATATTGTTTCATTAAGTATCATTGATCTCGGTGAACTCCGGCTGCGGTCATGCGGTTGGGTGTCACGCACTAAAATGCATTTGCAGTTCATCATCCAGCAAAATTGTGACACGCTAATTTTGACAAAGCGGTAGTTGGTCATGTGAGTACAGTATATACATGGTGCTCAGGTCACATGAGAGTTGCCACATCGTCCCCATGCACAGCCCCAGCCACCCGGGTATCCCCATGGGGGATCCCGAAGCGATCTGCTGCAGGCGCGCGTGCTGGGTGTACCCGGGGGTCGTCCGGAGCATCCGGGGCTGGGTGTGTCATGCATGGGTCGTGGGCGGGTTAGTAGTACATCGATCAAGGGAAGTCGTCCATGTAAATAGAAATAGAAAGAATAGAGAATGAGACAGAGAAGAAATAGGAAGAGGGGGAAGTGGGGGGAGGAGGAGATAGGAAGAGGGAGAAGGGGGTAGCGGGTGGAGTGGAGCTGGGTGGAGCCGGGTGAGGCAGGTGTGCCCTGACAGATATACAGTTAAGATTGCCACTGTAGTAAAAGGCAGCAATTAAGGAGAGAAATATTAAGTAGATATTTCAACAGGAGGGCTGGTTAACACTCCAGACTTCAAAGTGTAAACACAAAACAGTTATTTTGCTACTGTTAAAACAAGCAATAAAATAAGACAAAAATAAAACAAACTCAAGGGACACTCCAGACACAATCCAAATCCATTAACTAAGTAGAATCTTTGAAACTTCACCAAGTAGAAGATTTAATTCAAGTTAAATTCCAAACTAAACAATGCTACACAGAGTTACACCTAGACAAACTAAGGAATTTCAATAAAGGAACAGCTCCACAGGGTTCGGTTTTGTTAGAACTGGGCGAGGGTGGATGATTCCGGAGGGGAATCGGAGACTTAGCAAGGAGGGACCTTGGCCTCAGCGACTCAAGCGGAGCGCTGTGCCATTGCTGTTTGTCCATTTGGTCCTTAATTTCACAGTAGGCGAGCAGGAAGTCTCTAGGGGGCATTTCAGGTCGATTTTAGACTAAGCCTAAAACGAGTATGTACAAGCGCCGATATATATAATGGAGGGGGCGAAAGCACCAGGAAACAAAGGGGATCTGAATTGGAACAAAGGCATCCGAACGGGAACAAAGGGATGACAGAAGCGGAGCAGTACCGAAGGTCATAAGGCAGAACCTGTGGTACGTCCGAAAGGAGGTAAGGAGGGTGAGGCCCAGAGGGGCAGGAGGATGAGGGGAAGTGGGGATGATGACTAACTGGCTAGAATTGGAAGAAGCAGCAGTCCAAATAGGGATGAGGGGAAAATGCGAGAGATACATTACAAGCGGCAAAGTGCCGAAGATGATCCGTGAAGCTCGGAGGTTGCGGAGCTTACGGAGGTTATGGAGGCAGGGTTGAAAGTCCGAGGAATATTGGCAATGGTGTTTACGTAGTATGAGGTCACCAATGCAATGGACTAAGACCGAGGTGGAGTCAAAGTCCGAGGTAGGAACTATGACAGAGGCTCGGAGCAAAGGTACGAGCGGTGCCCAAGTACAAAGTATGGGACAGTGGTGGAAGGTCATAACTTGGTGGGAGGTCGGCAGAAGAGGACCAGAGGAAAGAGAGAGGAGAAAGGGAAGAGGGAAGGAGTGGTGGAAAGGAGAGTTGTCAGGTCTGAAGGTGAGTATTGGAGCGGACGGGAGAAGCGTAGGAGGATGACAGAAGGGTGGAGGTGTTGTGAGGAAGGAGCAGAGGAGTAGGAGGAGTAGTAGGAGGGTGGCGAGAGGGGTGGTGTTCAGTCCGAGGTGAGTATCAGAGCGGACAGAGATAGGGGAGGAGTGGGACGGAGGAGTGGAGGTGGCATGGGAGGTGAGAGGAGGTGTGGTGCCAGGACCGAAGGTGAATATTGGAACGGACAGCAGTAGGGTAGGACTCTGGAGAGGAGGTCCAGGAGTCGGGTCGGGATCAGGTATGCACGGATATGACAGGTTTATCTGTAAGTCAATTCCCAGAAACTTTAGACTAACCCATAAAAATAGAATTAGCCAAAACACTCGGATTGGTACTATATTTACAACAAATAATACTAGTACACTTCCCCATCCTAACTAAAGAACCAGGGAACAGCTTGGTGGTGGTCTCGTTTGAACCTCCCAACTGACCTTCCTTCGTTCTCTCCTTCAGCGGGCCTGTAAATGGTGGGGCCGAGTGGAGTGGAGCTAACAGAGTTAAACATTAGCCAATTGAATATTACCGACAAGTCAGGTTATGGGGTTAGCGGAATGGTAGGTGATAACCCAGAAACAGAAAGGAGGGATAGGCCTGAAGGTGGGCTTGCAGGGCAAGCGAGTGAATTGCCCAGCAGAGGCAGGAGTGCACTAGCAGATGTCGGAGCTGTCCGGAAGCCTTTGGGGCTCCGTACTTAGGGAGGCGTAGGTAATATATTGAAAAGAGGGGGTGGTGACCATCGAGGGAAGTGGAGGTGATTGCAGAATACAGGAGCTCCGAGGTTAGTTGTTATGGAAATGGGAATTTCCCATTTTAGACTCTTATGGGTTCTGTATCATGTGATATGTAGAGTAATATAGTTTATCGAATCAATAATCAACGAAAAACCCGCTGCCACACTACCTGTTAAACTACGGAGGGCTTTGGCCTCAGCGACTTACATATGCCAGGAGCGCTGTGCCTAGTAAACACGTCCGTGCCCTAACTTACTAACTGGCCACCAGAACTGAAGAGGGTAAACTCTAGTCGATTTTATTACTGAAGTGTAACCTATGTACAAGCTGGATATATATATGGTTACAGCAAAGACAGGTCCGCAAATGGTGGAGCCGAACGGAGCGGAGCTAACGGGGTTAAACATTAGCCGACTGAATATTACCGACGAGTCGGGTTACAGTGTTAACGGAAAGGCAGGCGATAACCCAGAAACGGAAAGGAGGGATAGGCCTGAAGGTAGGCTCTGCAGGGCAGGCGAGTGTATTGCCCAATGGAGGCGGGAGTGCGCTAGCGGACGTCGGAGCTGTCCGGAAGTCTTCGGGGCTCCATACTTAGGGAGGTGTAGGTAATAAATTGAAAGGAGGGGGTGGTGACCATCGAGGGGTACTGAGGGAGTTGCAGAATATGGAGGCTCCGAGGTTAGTGGAGAAGGAGCGGGGGTAGACCGGAGGGATCAGAGGGATCGGAAGTCGATGGCCAGGGATGGATATGACAAAACCCTAATGAACCACCTCCCTTCCCCTTTCCTTTTCCCTGTGCCTCAAACGGACGAAAATGGGCACCTCCAGCCCCATTTTTGTAACATTAGTGAAGGAGTGGAGGTAGTCCGGAGGGGCCGGAGGTAGTGAAGGATGATGGCTGTGGATGGATATGACAGCGGAAAGGTTTGCATAATCGCTCTGTATGTCGACGACCTCATGATCTTGTCTAACGACCTCACGATGCTGGAGAGGAAGAAGGGACAGTTGATGGTGACCTTCAAGATGAAGGACTTAGGTGAAATTCACTGGTTTCTAGGTTTGGAAATCACACATGACCGCTCCCATTGTATTGTCACCGTCTCTCAAGCTCACTAT